CGATATAATTTTAATAATATGTAACATAATTTTCAGTATATAATACTTAACCTAATTAATGTAATTCTCAAGTACAGTGGAGTTTCCCATATGAAATTCCACGTTATCCAAACATTTATTTATTCGAACAGAATGTTTAATTTCATAATTGCAAAAAATACCAAAAAAAGATTAAACTATGAGATATTAAAATTTTACTAAGAAAGACAATAATTGACAGAACATATTATATTATATATTTAAATGAAAACGTACATATGTAAGAAGATGAATATGAAACGAAGATAAAGATGTCGTAAATATTTTCTAATGAACTGAAATAACACATAAGAATGATGAGAATGTGTCTTTTTACACCGAAACACATCTAAATCATTTAGAAACAAAAAAAGAACGTATACAGAATTATTCATTTTTAAGAAAGTTAAATATTTCATTCTTACATACGGAAACAAACAAAATAACAATTTCTTTCCATTTAAATACATGTAATTTGATATCAGAGAAATAATTGTTCCGTCATCCGAAAATTCCGGAAGTATGCAAAACTCTACTACTGTGTGTGTGCAGTTATTATAATTTCTAATTGTCCTATCGAAAACCGATTTTTCTTTTTTTCTTGTTCTGCCTTGGTCTCTGGAATAAACAATACTTACTACAACAAGGTCGTTAATATAGATGTACTCGAGACCTAAATGACCGCAATAAATTTGGTTCAATCTGGTTAGTATTTCGCGCAAAGGGAGAGTTCGTTTAGGACCCCCAATTACGGTGAACGGCGCAAGGGGAAATTCCCTGTCCATATCAGCCTCGGTCATCCCCTTCAAATGTTGGCGTACCACGATCGCAGGTGGTAAATTAGATGTGCCTTGAAGCTTATAGGATTCTGGATTCTGTATTCTTAGCGGATCGGTATCGGCTATCAAGTGACCGCGTGTCTTGAACCAAGGCAAACAAAGCAATTTCAACAGATGGATTTAGACCAAAGATTTTAGACTTCGTTTTACAACGAATACCTGATATGCTCGAATCGTGGCATTAATGTCGAGAGCTCCGTTTATGAAACTTTCACCTTGTATGCCGCCGTTTGACTGTGATCTTACATTCTGCTGAGGAAAACTTGGTGCTGTTCAGTAATAAAACGATAGGGCATTTTATTCCGTAGCACAGTAGAGTGCAAAACTCTTGGGCCATGTGCTACATGATAGTTCGTTAAAAAAAAAAATATTAATTTGAAATAATTTTCTCTTACTCTTTCGATAGCAGGAGCTCACACGAGGATTTGGTCAAACAATATTAATAATCTCATATCGTGGATATTTCAATGTAGGAATATTTCGAACAATTTGTCTGTATCTATTTTCTTTTCATGTTGATACCGACTGTAAGTTGTTTTATAAAGAATCGCGAATAAAGAGAAATTGTGTAAGTATGTAGTATCATTGAAAATATTTAAAGATTTAGTTTTAATTTCTAATTCTATTATAAACACTATTATAGATGACCCAAAACCTCTGCACAATACTGTACATGTATATTTTTCTCGAAAACCATATTGTTATATCACATACAGTGTGTATCACTTATATATACTTATTACAAAATGAATAATTTATACAACTGACCCAAACGCTAATAGTAAATAATTCCAAGCGAAATAAAACAAATAGTAAATGTAAAAAAAAAGTCAGATAAATGAAAATTAACAGCAGTTTCGCAGATTAAAGTCTACATTTAAGGTTATAAGATTATACAGATTAAAATTTAAGAGAAAGATCTACCTGATGCACTGACAAGATTTGAAGGTATTACATTGGAAGACGATTCAATTCGAATGGCTGTCGATGGAGTAGAGTCTTTCGGTGTGGAAGTCACCGATGGATTAGAATCTGGTGTGGATGTTGCCGACTCTGGCAGATTGTCGGCATAAATTAATCTAAAATACGAATCCCACGAGGGACTGACGGAACTTGGATTTTTCCTCCATGACTGATACATGTGATCCAAGTACTGGCTGTTGGTCATGCTCAACACGTAGTCGTATTTATTGCTCCTACGACTACTTCCCCGATCGTCATGGCTAAAACGCGCTTGACGCTGTTGCAATTTCAACGACACGAACAGTCGACCTTTGAGCATTCGTGCTTGGTCATTGTGAACTTTGAACAAGCAACTTGCTGTCGAGGTAAAAATTCGAAAGTTGTGAGACCGTGGTTTCATGTCCCCATTTGATGGTGTTCACGATCGAGATGCTGAAGCCGGACAAATGTTCGCGATCACTTCAGAAAATTTCAAAATTACGAAATTGATTGACATTTAAAACCGAGAGTTACACCATCGTGACCAACATCGTTTGGTTGTTTGTTGTCGACCAGCTTCGGTTAATATTCTTGAAATTCTCGTACGAAGTTGCTCACTTTCCAAACCGAAATTTAGTACTTTACTTCTTCGTAGGATAATTAAAAGAAAAGAAAAGACACGTCTTCGCATGGTCATCACTTTTGCTTGAATTTACGGAACGTATATATACATACGTTTAACTATCCAAACGTTCCTCGAAAAAAGATTTCAAATTGTATAAATTCGTCCGTTATCTGTGTTATTCAAAAAT